TTTACCTTTATTTAACCAGGAAATTAAAAACTCTTGAGATTTAAAATCTCATTTACAAGAGGGTCCTGGCCAAGATAGGCAGCACATTTAGTTACACATAAAACAAAATACATTCGTTTACATACACAGAAACATACACAAATCACTCAAAACATTTACAATCAGGTGACTCTACAATTAGATCCTTTAAAATACATTTAAAATCATTTAGTGATACCAACTCTTTTAAGCATAACTTATCTTGTAGTTGATTCCAATCAAATGGAGCAGCATAACTAAATGCCTGTTGACCCATATTAGTATGAACTTTAGGGATGCTTAAAAGATAATAGTCTTGTGAGCGAAGACCATAATTCTTTACACCTTTTTGTAAGACATTCTGCTGTAAATACATTGATTTAACCTGTTAATGATATGCAGAGCGTTGAAAAACAAACACAAATAACAACCTGCAAGTGTCTCATAATTACCTGGAAGGGGGTCTGCCCACTGTTATTCTTTGTGTCCTTATTGGCTCCTCGATACAGCAGAATGCGGGCACAGCTCTCCTAAATGGTGAAATTAGACAATAACGGCCTGAAGACATTGAAGCCATCTGATGCTGACCATAAAATGTAACAAGCATTATACATCATACAACTTCATGCCCCCAGTAAATACACCACTTGTACACAAAATAATGAAATCTTCGCAGGGATCTTTAAAGCATCCCTGGAAAGACCATTCTGGTGACCAGCTTTACCAGCTGCTGAAGAGCATGGGTATGCTTGACCAGCACTAGTTAGCACAAACCAGCCTGAAAACTCATCCTGGTGTAAGACATTTTCAACATGAGATTTTATTATTTGGCTTGATTTTTGTGTCAGGACCAGCAGTTATACCTTGTTATATAAAGCACATATGTGCAGGGCAGTGTTTCCTGAGGCATTCTGGGATGAGGAGTCTGCACCATAAAAAAGCAGGTGCTCCAAGTGTTGAGAGTTCCCATTTTGACAAGCCTGGAGAAAAAAAGAGAGAGAGAGAGAGAATAGGATAGACAAAGAATGAGAGGAGAGGAGGAAAGAGAAAAGAGAGGTGGATAGGAAGAGCAGAAACAGTCATTTGACATACGGAAGGGAAAAGAGGGAGAGAAGAATAGATTTTATACATTGTCAGAACAGACACCTTTGCTAATTAACACCACAGTGAACGTGTGAGTGAGAGGAAGAGAATGAAAGAATCAAAATAGATATGGAAATGCACACATGCACAGAGAGAGGAGAAGGACTGAGCAGTGATTCCCAACTGGTGGTACTTGGAAGAAACTTAAGATCGGATTCTTGAGTCTCTATTGCCTTTATGTTTGTAATGTCTGTCTGCAACTTGTTTAGCTTTGATAATTATTAAATTCTGCCATAAAAGACTGCAAATGACTTTATTCTTGTTAAACATTCCAGTTGGCTGTTAGGTTTTTAAAGGCTAAGAAGCTTATTAAGGTGATTTATTAAAGGGAGGAGAAACTTGGCAAGTGTGTTTTTCAACCACGATTTGACTGTTTTTAGTTCAAAAGTGAATCATTGTAATAATTCCCATAATATTACTGATAATGCTAAATGATATCTAGTGTAATATGAGTCAAAAAAGGAGCACAGTTTCTTGTTAGTCTCCATGAAGCCTTACTGATGGAGGTACTGTGGAAGCACTTAAAAAAGGTTGTACAGTGTACGAAGGCACAAAATAGTATCTGAAAAGTATGGTGGTGGTGGTGTTTTTTAATGAAGTTTCTTATGCTTACCAAGGCTACATTTTTTTTAAATACAGTGTAATTTTTGTTCTATGAAACATTATTACAATTTTAATACATGTAAAATGTTTATTTATTACTGTATATGCTGATTTGGTACTCATGTAACATTTCTTAATATTTCCACAGTTTAACTAGAATTTTATAGTTGTGCTGCTTAACATTTTTGTGGAAACCATGATAACGTTTTGTAACAATGTGAAGTTGTTCCTGTCACTTTTGATCAATTTAATGCATGCTTGCAGAATAAAACAAACATACTGTAAACTTACTGTAATGGTACTGTATGTATCCAAAAAACAAAGACATAAAAACATAACGTGTAAATAATATGCAGGGATGTTCAGGGTAGATCAGTGCTTTCCATATGAATGAATGATTCACAGATACAGCAGGCTACAAAAATCAGACCCCTAGAAAAAAAGCTTCAATTTTTCAATTTTCTAACTGTTATAATTGACTGCAATAAAATTACATTAATTATAAAATGATTGTTACACATATATATTAATTTGTATGTTTAGAATAACACTAGACAATTGTTCCATGGTACATCAAGTATATGAGTTACAGCAGTTATCAGTTACACTTCTATTATTCATGTGTTTCCTGTATATGTCACACACTGTTCTTCTTAGCACTTTTCGTACCTGATGGGTTTCGTCCCAGCCATTCTCATCACGGAGCCCCAGCTTGGCTCTGTGGTAGAGGAGGGTCTCGCAGCAGGAGGTGTCGCCCCCTATCAGCACAGTGTGGTAAAGTGGTGTCAGCCCACGGCGGTCCTTATAATCAGGAGATGCCCCCAAAGACAACAGCGCCTAAAAAAAAACAGAAAACAGACAATCAGATTTAAATATGATTTTTTTTATTACAAGCATAAATTCATCCTAATCATGGTTCTGAGGTGCTATGTGTTACCAGTAGGGCAGTGTGCGCATGTGCTCTGACAGCCTTGTGGAGAGGGGTCAAGCCATCCTTTGCCCTGAAGTCAATGTGAGCTCCCCCCATCACCAGCACCCTGATGATCTCCCCTCCGCCCGGCTCCGTCTGTACAGCCAGAGTGAGTGGGGTCTCTGTCACACACACACAATCGGTCAGTTACAATAGCCAAATGGATAATTACAATCAGTGTGGTAGGATATATATATATTTATACAGTTGCAAGAAAAAGTAAGTGAACTATTTTCAATTTCCTGATTTTCTACTTAAATTGTTATGAAATGTGATCTGATCTTCACCAATTTATGCAGAAAACCAGAACATATATGTGACCCTGGACCACAAAACCATGGTGACATGTTCAGTTCACTTAGTTTTGTCGTGGCCATGACATAACTCACGGGAATGTGATAATATATCGTGGCAGTGGCGGTTCTACATTGAATTACACCCTGGGCGAGACCCCCTTCGAGAGACCCCCTTCTTTTATAAAATTTTTTATTAAAATTATATTTCTCAATTGCACAAATCCTTCATTAGAACATTTGAAAAACACACTTAAGAGAATCCAGTTATTTAACTATTGCAATTACAACATGAAACACACTTTTTAAGTTGCACAATCTCCATCTCCAACATTGCCAAAAGACAATGAACACAATTCTGCACAAAATATGACAGTATAAGTTATCAGAGCTTAAATAAATATACACTATATATTTGCATACATATACTTCGTAGTAGACATCCTTAACTCATTTCTGCTGTCTGTTGTTCTGTTGTCGGTGTTTCTTTGTTTGAATATGGCGCTTTATCACATACTGTGTGGTATCGGCGTTTGGTATCGGGACATTTTAACGAGTACGAGTACGAGTACAGGAGACCAGTATCGGTGCATCCCTAAAAAAATCTTACATATTGTGCCTTTAAACATCTTATACATTTTTTTGTATTATTTACTGATCATTTTTATGATTTTTTTCAACTAAATGTGCCTGTCCCACACTTTTGAGCAACAATGAAAAAAGGCTTTTATTATGACATTTTATCAAAGACAAACAGGTCTAGTTTCTATGGAAACAGAAATTAGCAGTGAGCACATTGTTGACAGATTGGGCCACCTCACAAGATCCCAAAAATATAAGGTAAATATCATCTTTTCTGTGTCAGTATTTATTGTGTGTCCTTACCATACAGATTAGTAATTCTGTACTTTGAACTACATTTTAAAAATAAATGTATATTACTGTATAATTAATGTATATTAAGATGCTAAGAGTCAAAACTAATGTAGTAGACCTTGCTAGCTGCCAGTTAGCACCAATATTAGCAAAAATGTAATTTCCGCAACATGTCTTTACCGCAGTAAATTTAGGTGTTGCGGTAAAGACCTTGTGTTGCGGTAGAGACAAGTTCAAAGTTTACTGTATATTAAATTACAAATATTAATTCTATATGTTTTCTGTTTCTTTTATACTGTTGTTCTCTACAGTAGCCTGTTTTTTATTTCATGGCACTTTAACATTGTGTCCTTACCGACGCAAGATGACATTACCGCAGCTCTGCTTTATTTATTTTTATTTTTTCATATTTTTATTTGCAAAAAAAAAATTTTAACACTTAAGTTGAGATTATTTACACATTGAAATTGCAACATCTGGCATAAAAAGTTAAATATGTTATCTTTAGTGTGTATGGAAACAATTGACAGGTTACTGTTTAAATTTTACATGGCATAGAGAAAACCATGAAATCCCCTATTTTGTATATTTTTTATAATATCAGTATTTACAAAACTGCACAAAATTTAAAAAGCTATTGAAATACATTACATTTTTATAGAAATTAAAAAAGAAAAATGCATAAAATGTACGTTATTGTAATGTTGCGGTAAGGACATTTTGTAAGAAGAAGAGTTGAAAAACATAAAAAATACACATGTTCCAGATTAAAATCTTAATGACTAATGAACATGCAATTTTGTTGACCTTTTTATATGTATTACAGACTCTGGTGGTTAAAATTAAAATTCACAGGGATTTTTTTTTTTTTTTTACATTTTGGAGAGTCAAAAGTGCCCGTAGTTGCAGAAACACCCATATATGTACTTATACATGTACTTAACATATATATATATATATATATATTATCAACATGCCGACTAAACAGTCTAAACAGTTTGTCTAAACAGTTTTGGCTTCAACCGATCGATCAAGATCGTCGGCATGTTGATGTGATGATGTACAAACTATCTTTTCGAGTTATATATTTTTAATGAATCAATTGATCCAGCTCACGAAGATTAATTCATAAGATTCATTCACAAATCAGCCTGATCCAGATCCCAAGTTCAACCCAGTGATTCGGCTGCAATGGTTAACAGCTTTATGATACACATACAGTACATATTTTTCAGTAAATTATTTAAAAGGCAAGGCATTGTTCTCCCGTACACTGGTCAAGTTTGAGATCTTGGGCTATTCAGCTTTTAATAACATTGTTTTAGACTAGTGGAAAGAAATCATCCAAAATATACTTTTAAGTGTTTATTTCGTTGCACTTTATCTATATTCATCTGTAGATTTCAATTACTATACATATATTTAAAGGCAGTTTTCTCAAGAGTTTTTTCTCAGGCAGTGAGCCATAAATCTCCACCTCAGTTACATTTACATAAACAAAACTTTACTATTTTATTCCTATCTATTTTCTGAAGAATTTTACAGAAGACTTTTGTTTCCTCATGATTTACTAATTCTATACATATACACTTAACAGTTTATTCCTAAAAAGTGGTGATTTTTTTTTCTGGCTGGTGACTGTCACGGTCACGGTGTGTGGAGGCAGGCAGGATGACGAGAGATTATACGGGCTAAACCAACACAAGGGGAAGAAACCACAACAAACAGTCCACAGGGGTGTTACAGTGACATTATTTTCTGATTTATGGAGTGATAAAAAGACATCAAAAACAAGAATTTTGAAACTGGCTTAATCCAAAATGTATGCAAATTAGTCTATATTTAATTAGATAATGCAACATTTGCATATTTAAACACATAAAACAAAAAATGTTTTGCAATTCTTAATCTAATCAGTCAATTGGAGAAATATGGTGATATCTATTAGTTAAATGTATTTATTTATTTTCCTTAAAGAGGTTTGGAATGACATGAAGGTGAGTAAACAAAAAATGGAACTATTGCCTAAACTATCCCTTTAATTGCAACAGAAATTTTCTCTCGGATCAGCCTCCTAGTGGTTGCAAATGGTGCAGCAGCTTTCACTCCTTGTTAGCAGGGTCTGCTTCGAGAAGTGACTGGCAAGCACAACATCAACTCTGTGACAACGCAGATGACACAAACTGTGAACAACACTCAAGGTAGCCGTCTTGCAAGTCAAACTCTGCTGCAAACGAATGCTAATATTACACTGCATTGTCATCTGGTCCATAAAGCGGCTTTCACGGCATGTCTGGCCACGTCTCCAGCTCACCAAATGCTTGCCAAAGCGCTAAAAACTTGAATTAATATGCCATAAAAAATGCTGCCCCGTTACAAATACATTCAAATTATTCAGTGGTTTTTACTCTGTTGGCACGCATTGAACTGAACCGTTGAGCTGCAGTAATTGTTTCATCTCATTAAACAGCCCAAGTGTTGTAATTGGGTTTTTATTTGTTTATTTAGGAGGCAGCCACTGAGTCTAACGTTAACTTTACGCATTTGTTGCATAATTTAAACTCCAGATGACTTTTGTTGGCAACTGCATGGATCGTTTGAGAAGATGCAAATGTCCATTCCTGTAAATGCTCATTGAATATTCATTCAGCCCTATTTCCATTTGCATATAGCATGCGTGTGGGCCAGTTTATGCTCTGCTGGCAGTAATTCATTATCCAGCTCACAAATGGAAAGTTCATTAAGTCTCACAGGAAGAGAACAGTGCAGTGCCTGACACCTCACCTTCTGTATCAGGGTCATGGTAGTTGGGGTCAAGGCCTTTGTCTACAAGTTTGGCTACCTTTTCCACAGCCCCGGCCTGGATGTAGTCCATGAACTTCTTCAGACTGGCCTGTAGGGGGAGACACATGCAGCCATGCTAGGCAGTGCCCTGAGGATAAGCTACTTATCGCATTTAAAGGGTCATGAAACCCCGACAACTTTTTCAGAGAATTTAGCAGAGGTGTTTGTGTTACACATCATAGAAGACCATGTTAGCAGCCGTTAATTTTAATTGTTGGAGAAAACTGGTTAATTTGAAGCTTCTTGCGCTATTTTCATCTCCCGGGCTTAAAATCTACATCGTGTTGACGTCACAATTTGTGACGTGGCAAAGGACAATAGGCTTGTTTGAGATGAGCAAAATCTGCGCAGAACCGATCACCAGTGATCATCGCGAGATGCTTGCCGGTTAGAAAAGTGTCTTGAGTTACGTCCGACTTGCTCTGATGTCATGCTGACGTGTGCCAAAAAACTCTCGCGACGGCGAGGCGGCTGTGTCGGATTGTGCAGTCGAACGCAGTTGCTCTCCACCGACTGCGCTGACCAAAAGCATGATGGGAAACGACTGACTGACGACACAGCTTAATGCTCATTGGTTCAGACAACTGTGATGCTGCGTTCTCTTCTAAAATGTTTTATTTTTT